TGCTACAATTACTTACTTGGCGAATTTTACTTCCGGCTCTCTTCCCAGTATTCTGCAGCAGTAATCCACCTTGGAGTAAAGATAATACAAAAGAAATAACCGATGTGTTGTTCCTTCTAGATACGGTCTCTGAAATGATAACCCGTTGGCTACAGTGGCGAGACAAATGCAACTGATCGGTGACCTTTCTAAAACTACCACTGCTAATCGAAATAAAAAAAATTTAGAGAACTGATTAGGACGGGATTATTATTCTTGGTTAACCGTAAAAGCGCTTTGATGAGAGAAACAGCATTTAAAGCGACTTCACTACACATGTGCTAAGTGTAACCCTTGAATTTTTCAAATCACATTTTAAGACAGTGTTTTAAAAAATCCGTTTTTATTGATCAGTACGTAGCGAAAAATGCAGTACAAAAGTATAACAACTATCCATAACATCATTTCCGTTCAGCTAAGTGAAAGGCAAAGTACACCCTTGAATTTGTATTTTTCACTGCACCTTTACGCAATCACTTCGAAATCTGGCTTGTGCAGCTTTTACAACGCTTTGTGACTTCATCCGTAAAATAAACTGACAGGTCAGGATAGACAACCTTATTCGCTGACTACTATAGGAAACATACTCAGATTCACAGCAAAATATACCTAGTTTGTCGGTGCTTTCATATTGTATCGCTGATCGACACGGTGTGAAAGTGTAGTTTATTGTAACCCAAAGCAGTTGACAAGCTCTTATAAATATAACAAATCAATATTACCACTGCTCAAGAGAGAGAGAGAGCGCATCTGGAAGCCTTTCAGGGCGACAAAAAACTTATTTTTTCGAAAGTTTATTGCTTCTCGGTCGGTTATGCCGAAATAAAGGCGTTTGACAATCTTTCTGTTTACTAATGGCCGAAAATTTTTAATCACGAATTCTTGCTTCGAATACATCAGCCGAGGAAAAAAGAATAAGCAGCAAAAGCCGAAAAGGGCATGAGTTACACTACTTAAATCGCATTTTCACAACCACAGCACCGCCGGGCACTTATCAGTTGGTTGGCAGATTGTGGACTGGAAAGTGTTACAATGGAAGGTGGTGCATTACTGGCTATCAATGTATGCCCGGTCTGGCTTCGCACACCAGGCGCTGTCTGTTGCAGGTCAGCGAATGGGGCTTGTCTCCGCAGCAATCCGCGTTTTTGCAGCTTGCACCTGCCTTTTTCTGGCACACCGCTTCCGTGTGCGAAAACTGTAAAAATTAATGGTAATTAACTAAAAGTGCACGTGCCAGTTTGATATGGATACTGGAGCTGGCTTGCTAAATGTTAAGCGGGAGAAAATGCTAACAATAAGTAGGTTGCGTTTTGCATGGCCTTGCGATTAACGGCAAAATTAACGACGATTTTAGCGTTGTTAATTTAATGTGCCGTTGATTGGAATAAGAGGTTGCGTTATAAACTTAACAACAAGCAGAACGCGCGGCGCTTACGCGCCGCGCTGACGCGGTCCACGGTTTTAACGGCTGAAAAGTGTGGGTTCCGCGCGCGTGGCCTTCGGTGACCAAAGCATTAAAATGTCTACGGTGACAAAAGGCTTATTAAGGCGGACACCGCACGCGTAACCTTTGATGACCAAAGGTTTAAAAGGCCTTCGGTGGCTAAAGGCCTTCGGTTACCAAAGATTTAAAATGCCTTCGGTAACCAAAGTCTCAAAACGCCTTCGGTCACCAAAGGCTTAATAAGGCGGGTATCGCACGCGTGACATTCGGTGACCAAAGGCTTAATAAAGCAGGTACCGCACACGTGGCCTTTGGTGACCAAAAGGGTAAAAGGCGATCGGTCACCAACGGGTAAGAAGGCCTTCGGTGAACAAAGGCTTAATAAAGCAGGTACTGCACGCATGGCCTTCGGTGACCATAGGCCTAAAAGGCGATCGGTGACCGAAGGTTTAAAGAGCCTTCAGTTACCAAAGGTTTAAAAGGCCTTCGGTGACCAAAGGCTTAATAAAGCAGGTACCGCACGCGTGGCCTTCGGTGACCATAGGCCTAAAAGGCGATCGGTGACCGAAGGTTTAAAGAGCCTTCAGTTACCAAAGGTTTAAAAGGCCTTCGGTGACCAAAGGCTTAATAAAGCAGGTACCGCACGCGTGGCCTTCGGTGACCAAAGGGGTAAAAGGCGATCGGTGACCGAAGGGTTAAAGAGCCTTCGGTTACCAAAGGTTTAAAAGGCCTTCGGTGACCAAAGGCTTAATAAAGCAGGTACCGCACGCGTGGCCTTCGGTGACCAAAGGCCTAAAAGGCGATCGGTGACCGAAGGGTTAAAGGGCCTTCGGTTAGCAAAGGTGACGAAAGACGAAAACCTTTGGTGACGAAAGAATAAATAAAGCAGGTATCGCACACGCGGCCATTGGTGACCAAAGGCTTAATATGGCGGGTACCGCACGCTTGGATTCCGGAGACCAATGACTTAAAAGGTCGGATGCCGTTAAGTTTGTTAACTTAATTAAAGTTATCGAGTGTGTTGAAGCACTATGGTCTTGAAACTTAGAAAGGGTGAAGCTAAACGTGTGATCCGGTTTATCAGGCGAAGGTTTTACAGGTGAGGGCACTAAAATTCGGAAGCTTAGTAAGGTTAAAGGCGTAAAAGCACAGGTTTAAGGGGCTGCAAAAGCGTAAAAGCCGTTAGTCGGGTTTATGCCAATCAGAAACGTTAGGTTGTTTCTGGCCAATCAGAACGTTTCGGAGGCAGGAGCGTTCCGGAATCACGGTTCTGCTTTAATATATAGGATTTACTGCTCCTGTTATTAACGTGAGGAACCATAATTGTATCAGAGAGTCTCCGCTGAATATTTTGAACCAATATCAAAACAATTTCGTTTACCAGCGGAAAAATAACAAATGCAGATTTTTTATGTGGTACGAATACATTAGAAGGAAATGCGATTTGAGTTTTCGCGCAGACGTTATAAAGAAGTAGAACTGTCATTCCATTCTGGAATGCGTGACTCGCTGTTGCACTTGAAAGATGGTGAATATGCACAGCACAGGCTACAGAGTTGCTATAGCACACTGCTGCAACAGTAAAGTCAAAGTTTTTGCAATAATTTTTACATTTTGAAAAAACCAAATAATTTTCTTTTCAATGTAGCTGGCAAAAAAATAAATGACAGCAGTGCAAGCGTCGAGACTGGTACGATTTTCAAAAATTCGAGTCGAGTGGGCAACTCAGGATTGAATGCCCAGGCAGAAATTCACTGGGTAGACTGTCTCGCCTACGCAGTCTTCGTGCTCAATGGTCTATGTGGGCCCAGTCGTTCATTACTGAATTTCAACGTCGTTATTAACGAAACGATACCCCCTTCGTTTCGTTAATAACGACGGGTACTGCCGTTTAAACGTTCGTTAATTGTACTCCGTCGTTAATTCTATCGTCAATCGTACCCCTTCGTTGATACCGCAACCTGCTTAATACATATATTGCACGAGTAGCGTTGGTTGGTAAGTTGGTAACCATAGCCTTGCACCGAGCACGAGCCAGTTCACAGAACTCTGCTTAGCGACACGGTGATGCAGATTATATTTTTTGTCTTTATGCATTCAAGAAACTTTGCTCTTGATGGAGTACTTGAAATCTTTAAAATCGGTTCACTTTTTATTAAGTTATTTGTGTTATAAAAAACTGATGACGAAAGCACTTAAGCCACGCCACGCGAGCCACTGCACTACAGCAAAATAACTGGAGCCACTGCCACATGTGTGCGGCTGCAACAGTTCTGTACCTCAGCACAGCCTCAGCACGCAGATGGTGGTGAATGCAGTCATTATGATGTTCTGGAATCTTTGCATACGTGATGGAAGAAAGAAGTGTTGCAACCGCGCACGTGTGGCGACGACTGCAGTTTTTCGCTGTAGTGCAGTGGCTCGCTTGGCGTGGCTTAAGTGCTTTCGTCATCGGTTTTTTATAACACAAATAGCTTAATAACCAGTGAACCGATTTTTAAAATTTCAAGTACTCTAAGAATCTTTCTGACAAACTTTCATGAATCTGCCAAAACAAAAAGTCTAAAGAAACAAATCAGGAGAGAAATAACAGAAGGTGGCCCACTTAAGTGTATGTCGCCCATTCACTTATCAAAGTGGCCCACTTCACTGTCTTAAAGAGTAGATAAGGGGCTCGGCTGACAGAGTGCGGTAGCAGTGAAAAAAAGGGAGTTAAAAACACGTCAGAATGTTGCACTTACCAGAGCGAGCGCGGCAACAAGCAGCACCAAACACCAGCGTTGAACATTCATGATATCGGAATAAAAGGGATATCTCACGCGAGACTGATAAATAAAAATCCGGCACGTTGCAATAGGAAGTAGTAATTTTGAACAAAGTCTGTGAAATGCATTTCATTTATATAGGATTTGGAATGTGTAAACATGACAAGCAAGATTCAGAAACGTTTATGTTGTTATTGTTGTTGTTATATGGCGACAATAAGGCAAGTGAACAAACACTTGATTATTGCCCTGTGGGCAAATAATTGCGCTGTTGTTCGAGAAACAGTGGTTTTGAGAGAAAAATGAATGTTAACAAACAATGAATTTGCAACTTTCCGGGTGGTGCGCATTCTAACAAAGCTTCGTTGAACACAATACAAAAAAAAACAGTAAAAAATGAAGTTCTGTCAAAAATTATTTGTTTCTTGGATAAAATTATGGGGAAATTTATTTTCATAGCGCTTAAAGGTCAAAGTCAGCAGGCGAAAAAAATTGTTACTACGGCTATTTGAAACCGAGAAGGAATTTCCATCGCATGCCTGCAGGGCAATATAATAGCGGTATGTGCCTATCATTACTCATCCGATGTTTGGATTTCAGTAAACTGTTCGACTTAAGGTTATTGTTATCAAATGTTAACTGATATTGTTGTACGGCTGATATGGCATTTGTAAATGGTATATCAGACAGACGTCAAATGGTCAAACTGGTTGGTTGATACCAGATAAAATTATTTTATTATACCAGATAAAATGAAATGCAACGCGCAAAAATTTTATAACGCATTAATGTGAGTTATTCGAAATGCGAGTGCAGCATTAAATTGTTACAATAAGGACACTTCTCAACTTGCAAGTACATATTTACGAAAGTTTTGTGAACCCTTTCATTTGCTTGTTTGTGAATCGTTTGTCAGAATTATATTATTCATCAGTAGTTGCGATAATAGTATTCAGTTTGAGCTGATTTGGATGCAGCGAGTTTATCTGGAAGACAGGTGTCACATTCTCAGCATTTCTCACCACAGCAAAAAAAACGGTATGGCGTAAAGTAAAGCATCATAATTCTCATAAAAATTGCGTTAAACCGTTATTTATTAGGATATTGACTCATAGCTTAATATACAAATACCTAGATACCTAATACTATTATTACTAAATTATTATTATTATTCAAATAGTAAATACTGTACAGTGTATACACTACACAGTACACACCCGTTCCGTAATGATATAACATTACGCATAAGGTTCCTACCCTGTTATTTAATGAGTCTAAGCGACGTCACAGCGGGAGGAGCCAAACACGCTTATAGTATAGCAACGACCGCCTATTATTTTTCATCGACCAACAAAAACCCTAAGACTGCAAATATGACTGAGCAAGGAGACAGCGTAAACGCATTTTCTCTATGGCTCTATAAATCGCTAAAAACTGCGCCTTCATAGCTTGCGCCGGCACCGCGACATTTCGCCGCCGACAACTGGTCGCAGGAATTTTGGTCGCAGACATTTCACCGCAAGGTAATCTCGCCACGCGACGTTTCGTTGCAGGACATTTCGTCGGATGGACTTTACGCCGCAAGACTTTCCGTCGCATGGCCGTTTCGAAGCAAGGAAAATTTGCCGCAGGGACATCTCGTCGAACCGACATGTACCCTATCAGATGGACGATTTACTAAGCTAAAAGAAAGAGCCGAATAAATTCAAACTCAAGCAAAACCACACGAACGACCTAAGAAATCTGAGAAACCTAATAAACCTAAGAAACCTCAGAAACCTAAGAATCCAAAGAAACCAAAGAAACCCAAGAAACCTAAGAAAATTTATGAAGACGTACGAAAACCTAAAAAAGTCTTTGAAAGACTAAGAAATCCTAAGAATAACACCTAAGAAAAACTAAGAACAGTTCTAAAAAAACTAAAAAACTAGTGAGAATTAAGCGCGGTGAATTGTTTTGTGACGAGTTGTCGCATTGCTCGAAAAGTCCCAAGACGAATTGTTCGCGACCAGACATCTTGCGTCGAAATGTCGCAAAGGTAAAAATAATTAATGTCTCAAAGCATACTGTCCCAAACCGAAGTGTCCCAGCGTCCGAATGTCCGGTGGCGAAATGTCTTCGCCACGAAAAGTCGCGCGGCGAGTTTGAGTGCGGCAAAATGTCACACTCCCAATTGTCCGGGTGCGCTTGCGGCGTTTTCGAGAACGCAAATTTTATAAAAACTTGAAAACCATATGACTTTAAATTGCTTGAGAACAGCAAGGTGAAATTGATTAATTCTTTCAGCGGTGCATACATTTACCGCGACCTTACACCTTTGCCCTTTGAAAAAATTTGATTTCGTTCGTAGTTTTAATTAACAAAAGTGTGTACTCATTTATTTTAAAAAAATTGAATTACATCTGATGGATAATGTATTTTTGAAAAATTATTTATGTACAAAATTTCTCTGCAAATTCAGTCAGAACACTCTGAAGTCTGAACAACAGCAAATAATCGGAAGAGTCACAAAATAATTCCTCTGGAATGTACCGAAACCGATTCTGGCTGTCCCTAAATTAAATTTTGGAGCTGCAAGAGCTGGATGGAGTCGCGAATATGCTGCAGACGGCGCTGTATTTAGTACGAGCGGAAGACACGGTATATACAGTAGGCATCGCTTCATTTACTGCGCTTGGTGCTATTATCGCTCACGATTTCTAACGTTCGCTGGATATCAGCAAATCTGTATCTCAGAACATTTTATGTAATTAAACGTCATTTGCGTCGGCAAAAAAACTAGATGACAATTTGGACTTAAGTTAATTTGGCTTACCCTCTAGTCACTGTGAGATCCCTTCATGGATCCACCTCAATACAGCTGTAAAGTTTTGCCTAAAAAATATTTGTTTGTGAAACTATTTCTTCCTGATGTTGTAGCTGGATAGCCGCGGTTGTTTGTCGTGTACAGGTACATTCGGAAACTGGTCATGTTGAGAACTTTGTTGATAACAGTCTTCAGCTTGTATCTGTACCGAAAAAAATGCTCAAGGCAAGGAAATTGACTGTTTAATTAAACAAGGCTACCACCGTTTGATGCTCCATACCTACAATAACCTGCTTTATACTGACTGCTCCAACGTTGCCACAGGCGACCAAAACCGTTAAATGCCGCTTAACACGTTTAATGCGTCAAAGTGAGCTCACGCTTGATTTTCATAAGGCAGCACATTCTCATTATGTATACGATTACGGTACCAAGGATTAGTAAGTCATTAAGCAAACATATGACGTTTGGTTTAGATACGGCGTTCAAATTCACCAAATCCCGCTAGCAATCGCACTTACTTTTATATGATAGAATTAGCCATTTACCACTCAATCAATATAATAAATATGTGTAACAATAACAATGCCGTTTAGTTTTCACGCAGTATTGTTGTTGGAAATCTAGAGTAGCCGTCCGGCGGTTCCATTGTTAGATAAACATGTCAAGGTAGCATTGTCGCTGGCCAAAGCGGCAAAGACAAGGATACAGCTAATTATACCCATGGTGCCCTACAAATTCAATAAAATGGCAGTTTTAAGTTTGATGAATTATCGTCGGTAATTCGTAAAAGGGATAACTGCTAGTGCTAACTGACCTCAAGTGCTTTTTGGCGTGATACAATAACTTCAGCCAGCGTAAATACCGGTGGCCGGAATTGTATACGTTGCATGTAAAGCCACTGGAACCGCAGTTCTCCGGGTTTGTAAAGACGGTTGATCCCTTTGTGAGGCATAGTGCAACGCTCTTGCAGATTATTTCGATAAAGGAGGCTAATAGTAGCGCCTACAAAATTAGGTAGGTGACGTATCATAACGTGCTTAGTAGACTGGTAGTGCACATATAACAGCAAAAATCCCTTAAATACGGGAAAAATTGTTCGTATAAATAGTTGTAATGAAAACTAATCTGATTATGCCTGCATTCGCATCATTTTGAAAAATGCAATTAAGTATGCATTTATGCAATTATTATGAAAAATGCAATTATCATTTTGAAAAATGCAATTATGCAGATTTGAAATGAATCGGTACCTGCTCCATGTTGAAAACGAATGCCAACAAAAGTCCCAAGAAACTCCGCGTTGCTTCGGCTAGAGACAGTAAAGACGAGGCCGCTGGCGCACCGCAGCTAGCATATTGCCCGCTTATGTGGAAAGTCGCAATGATAATCCAGCCCAGTATCGCGACGAGGCGCACACCAGCAATTCCGATAGACAGGCGTCCAATGCGCTGACAACCTGGTTCAGAGACTTATGCAACAACACAAAGCGCATTCGTTCTTCATCGGTGCGCGACAACGAGAAACCCAGCGCTAACCGGCGAAATATCAGTCCCGTGCTAAGGGCAAGGAAATGACGAACCCAACCAGGATATCTTTAGATACTTCAAAAAACAGGGAAAAGAAATAGTACAGCACATTCAGAATCGTTACCACCGCCAGCGGCAAATTTGGAAAGTACACTGCGCGGTAAACTTCGGTCAAGGTGGAAAATGAAGTCCCGTTATCGTAGCCATACCACAACAGCCCCGTGATGGCGAGCATGCTACCCATGAATCCGCCTAAGGCGGCGGCCAAAACGTTCCAATCGGATGCCGTTAAAAATTTTCCAAAGTCTGCATCGAGTTGCCGAATTAAACGTAGTAGTTTCTGGCTGACCCGACACGTCAGCAGCATGTATGATAACTCCAGCACGCATAAAACAGTATGGATGCATCCAACGACAGTAACTTGCAGTTTCGTGGCGGTGGCGTTGTAGCTGGTCCAGGTGTCGGAGGCATCAAATATTCGTGCGGCAAAAATCAGCAGCGCATTGAGTAACCACACGGCGCTAAGAGATATCCTTAAGCCCGAGTGTTTAACCACAGGAAAGGGGAACAGGCCAAAAGTCTGTAGAAGAAAAAGCCAACATTTCGATACTCGCCACATCCGACGAGAAGAGCACGCACGCGTCGGTACGAGATCGTAACTACTGTGTTGAGATTTCAACATAATTAAGTTGGCTGTGGCAGGAAGCAGTAAGATATCGGTAACTATGGACCAATGGGTCCGGTAGGGAGTTAGCATGGATAACTGAAAGCCCTAATGAAGGCAGACATTCGGTGACATATTAGAAAAATTTAATTTCATTAGCTGCAATTCCTGCGATGTTCCGACATGAGGATACTGCGTACTCGATGCACTAACAGCAAACACGCTCTCGGTTGACTGATAGACCACTCTTGAGAATCATCGATGGGTGCAGAAATCTCCAAGGATGTTGCAAAGTCACTTCTCTACTTGTAATCGCTTTTCCACAAATATTGTAACATGATGCGATAACATAGAAGCAACGGCATCTAAGTAAATGCTGTCCTCGATTTTCACAGTTTATTCTGTCTTTCTGTGCGATTCGCGGTGATGATGTTATTGATGTATATGCGAGTAAAAGAATCGCAAATTAATTTTTTAGTTAAATTTCTTACTAAATCTGCGTGCAATCAGGTGTAAAGTGTAAACCACGGTACCATGGATACATCCATGCCGCCAACAGTGGTTTGGAAGACGACGAAAGTGTGGCTAATTATTCTGCAAATCATGGGGCTTTTTCATTATTCAGCTCTCCATCATAATAAGCTACGACTGTTCACGCTAATGGCCACCGTATTCTGGATATTGCTAGTGGTGATTATTAGTGTTTTCTACGCCTACGACATATACCAAATCTACAACGCCACGGCAACCCGCTTTCCCGTCGTTGTGGTAGGATCCATCCACGCCGTGTTATGTGTGCTAGAACTGCCGTATTTTATTACATTTTTCCGGGCTAGAAAAAAGCTTGTCGACCTTATGCAGCATCTGGACCGAGAATTTGGCCAACATCTGCTGACCTGCGATCGCATTGGTTTAGTAGTGTTCACATCGGTGTACTTCCTGACATTTGCAGTTACCAACATCATACTAATTTCTGGCTTTGTCCACAATGATGTGTTTAATACTGATGCAATCTATTTCGGGGAACATTATTTTCCCAACGCTTCACCGACAGCCTGGTTGACTTTCAGCGGAGTATATACGTTTGTTATTTGCACATTTGATGCGAGCAAGCGCATTGCCGTGGGGTTCATTTCGTTCATGGCAATTGTAAGTAAATAGAGAACAGTCGTCAATTTTCATTAGGCAGTAACTTCGTTCACAACCTTTTGCTATCTTCTGCTCAGTTCACAACCTCCTGCTCTACCTTTCATTCCGTTTGATACATTTTTGTTTTTTCGCTTTTCACGCTATTCCGTAATCAGAAGAAAGAGAAAATGTTGCGATTTATTTTCCGCACCAAAATTTGCAGTGCTAAAAGGGTTACATCAAAATATTATGCACTGACAGTGTACATACCAAACTTCCTGGGTTCTACATCCATAGGTTGGTTGCGGAGGCATAAACGGCATTTTGTGCGCTATCTACTACACGTAACAGCATCATTTTATGAAGGAACAATTTTAAAACACACAGCTGTGGCGTAGTACCAAGTAAAAATATGTATTCGTTTTTATACTCGCAAATCACAATAAATAAATTATCGAAACAGTTATCGGAGCTAACCGCAGTGTCAGATAAGGTTGTTCATGGGATAAAGGTTCGTGCAAATGCTTATGAAGTGATGTGAACCGATTAAAAGGCTTCAAACAGAGCGGTCACTTTTTCATTCTTGATGCTCCTCTGTGTTTAACGGTGCACAGAATTAGGGAATAACCGAAGCTGTTGTAGGCAGCCGGGCTAATATTTCGGAGGATCACCGTTAAAGCAGCTGTGGCTGGCAGCCGATTGGATGAATATATTGGTTTACAAAAACGAGCGTCCTCACTAGTCAAGGAACTGGATAACTGCGTGTCCTCCGTATCCGCATTCAGCCTGATTGCAATGCTGGGTTTGTTAATTATCACGACATTCAACATCAGTGGACAATACGTCAACTGTGGTGCGGCAGGTGGTAGTACGCTGGTGACCTTAACCGAGGCACTGATTGTATTGTGTGTTTTATCAGCATCCCACGTGTTTTCCATCGAACAGGCACACACCCTTTCGCAGTGCCAAAATCCACCGAGAAACGATTCGATAACAATCACACAAACCTGAAAAAACGGGTTTTACTCGTGAATTATCATATTTTAGGGTCAGCTAATCGTTGAGATAATTGGTGTGGATCTGGAAGAGCGTAGCCTGGTGCGTCATGGTCATGCTTCTGACCCGGGACTTGTACAGTGGATGTGGCTGTACATGCAATCTGAAAAACTCGCCGCCTGGATTTTCGATGGCCGGAATCCCAGTGTCCAGAGAAAGAGCGATCGAAGTTAGTATTGCTGCTGCGTTATGAAGGTTTGCTTCGCTTAAATTTAATAACTTTCTGTTGGTTGGTTGCAGAGCGCTATCGGTCTAATCGGCTGCGTTCTTGTGTTTTCGGAACTGGCTAGTACCAACAATACGAGCTTCACTTGCGCCGCAAATTCCAACATGACTACCGGATGGGTAATTTAAAAAGTGTTCCCAGTACCACAGCTTATCAGTTAGCGACGCTTCCGAATCGAAACCCTTTTCTGAATTAAAGAATTAAAAACCTTTTTAAAAATCGGTGACCGGGCCAGCAGAAGCCACGTTAGATGTCTTTTACGATAGCGTGCTTAAATTTGTAAACTGTAATGTGAAACTAGAATTACGTATTGTGATGTATTGTGGTGATAGACAGCAGGCTTAACAGCAAAATACGAGTAGTTCTATGAAATAATTTCGGGAATTGAAAAAAGAGTAGAAAATTGTCGCGGTCCGACACATGACGATCGGGGGGTGATGGCCGTGACCCGGTGTATAGAGTCGGCAATTGGCATTGATCAGATTCTACTTATTAATCGGCCTCAATGAAGTTGTATGCAAAAGCAAGTTGTATGCAAAAGCCAATTTTGGACCATGTGCTGCAGAACTCAAGATTTCTACATTTTGCTCAGTCTGCAAGTGCTGGATCCCGAGCCTTTCGACGCAGCGTTAATATCGCTTAAAGTTTGTCTGGGAAAAAGCGAGACGTGCAATAATTGCGCTCAAAAGACTCCATTTTTAGATTTATTCAGCCAGAGCTATGCACTTGCCGGCTAACGAGATGCAAAATGTAAGATTCAATAATGGCAACAGCAGCAGTCTGGTTTTATTCTTGTACGTGCAGTGCAAGTGTGCATCGATGCGGTTGCGCAGTACGTGCAGCACTGAAAATGTTGTTCACAATGATACGATTACAAATCCGCTCACAACTAATTCTTCAAAACCGCCTTGTGTCCATGAGCAGATTCCGGTCCTGGCAACAGCCAACCCGAAGACAACTATGGTCTAACCAGAAGATTTTGCGGGATATCGGATGTTTTTCGACAGCTCAATCATTCTTCTTTTGATATTAGACGGTTTTCCATCTTTGATATTAGACGGTTTTTCCCCCGTGTAGCTTTTAAGAAAACATATTGTGCCAGCAAACCAAAAGCCCAAAAGTGGCCACACATGCGTACGACCAACATATTTTCATAAGTACTTTAGCGATAACAAACCGATTTGTTTACACTGCCGTGGTATTTCGTAATGGACAATAGTCAGCATATCAAACAACAGCAGCAACAACTACACCAGCATTTTGAAAACCACTATCTGTATTCACCATCTTGGCAATTATAAAATTACCGCCGCTCCTCTCAGCGCTGTTTTATTTCCATCAACGACAAAGATTCGTGAAGAATATTCCTCAGTTATGTGTGTATTGGTTGTCTGCATATTAACAACATTACGTAGCACAAATTGTATATATACCACAGTATAGTGCACAAATTAAAGCATATAAGTGACACCTTGTAGCCGATTAACCGCTGCTGTCTAATCAATCCGGGTATAGTAATCGCTATCCAAACTGATCTTTCCGGTTTTAGAATTTAAAATTGTGAGTCTAAGGTTAAAATACTCTACTGAGTAAGAAACATAAGAACGCACTTGCACATAAGGGCAATCTGTACAATGCAAAAAGTTTGGAACGTGTCTACTCAAAATGCAAATCAGATTTTCTTTTTGCACGACAAGAGACTTTTTTTAATATGAAAATATAAATTTTTTTGATGAATTCTTGAAAAAAAATTTTTTAATGTATTCCTAAGCATCTCGCACGTACCCCGAAAAGTATGCATCCATCGAAATCGTATTCAGTTCGCTAGCAGCGGATTGTCGCGTATCCACGAGTCAAACGAATAGTCTGTGGCAAGAGGTCTTGATGCAAATTGTCAAAGAGTCTAGAATTCTAAAAGGAACTGTTCTTACGCAAACTGTTACAGCTAGTACAATATAAGGCGAAATATCTTTGCGACAAAGGTCTTCATTTTTTCGAAATAAATTTTACGTCGAGCTGTAACACGTAGAAATGTGTCATTGTCCAGGCGCAGTAAAATATAATGTCAGCGTCTGAATTTCATCTCGGGCTGGTAATAAAGTAATAAGCGCATTCTGAAAATTTGTAACACCACGGTAGTTAGAACCTTTCTAAAAGTTTAAAACGGACTTTCAAGGAATTTATTTCATTTAAAAATCGGACATGTCACAGAACTCGTAAGTCAGATAAGTATTCTTAAATCCATGACTTCTTTAACAAAGTGCCAAACAGACCGGAAAAAACTACCGATTGATACGCAGTTATGTGCTTGAAGTTTTGAACCTTCTTTCTATTTTAATATGTCTTTTTTCAGCAAATGGACGACGAGCGCGCAGTAACCATTTTTTTCTAATAGATGCAGTTGTTTTTGCTTTACTATCAAATGAAGCTATACGAAAACGCGTTGAGATAGTGCACAAAATCTAAGGTCCTCGTACAGCAAAAATAAATAACAGTAATAACTAATATTTTTACAGTACGCAAAAGTATTTTTCAAGTACTGTAGTAATAATTTATTACCGTGCATATCCGGCTATTTCCTTTTGGAAAAGCTGAGCCAGCACTTTATTCACACACTTAACAGCCCTAATGGAACTACGCGTGGCGTCGTGCTGCGAAATTTCATGTAAATCTGCGACGACTTACAGACATACAAAATCAAGTTACAAGAAGGACGCTTTGGTAAGCAAATTATTGTACCCAAAACTCATTTTCATTCCTTGAATCAAAACGGTTTTCGGCTGGACAGACTGCGCAAAAGTTCGCCACCGTCGCAAAACGGAGCGATAAGCCACTTCAGCGCATATACATACATGTACCCGTATTCCAGAAGCTGCCGACTCAAGTGGGAAGTTATTGGAAAGCCGGCTGTAATAATGCTTGCCTCACCGCAAATCTCAGCGCTCGTTTCCTTTCGAGTGGATTTTCCGCTAACTAGTCAGCGCGACTATTTAAACGTCCGGTAAAATGACACATAATATGTGATTACTGTCTGCGCTGTTATATCTTTTAGGAATTACTTTGCATATCCTATACGCAATTACAAGGAACAGAGCATGTTGCTAGCTATTTTAACCTTTTGCTTTTTTGCGGTCGCTCAGCTTGGCCATTGTCAATGGACGCAAGACGACTTGATCATTGACTTGGAACGCAGAGCCGAAGAAGCTGCAAAGGAGCGTGGTATCGTAAGTTGCCAGTCTGCCTTTAATTTGCTGTATAGCCGTAAAATTATATTATATTATCATATTATAAATACTTCTTAGCGCATATCGTGCAATTAAGGCATTGAAAGAGAGTCTCACTTTGCAGCGCGTTGAAGAGCTGCCTGGCATCTACCGCCACTCTAACGGTAAAGACCAAAACTAACCCTTGAAACGGTTTGCATTAAAAATCAGTTTCTCTAAATCTAAATAATATATGGAAGTTCAGATTCATAAAAAAAGCTTACGAAGGCGGCGTTGACATTAACGTTTTTGCGCGAATATTTACTCGATGTGCTTGTATACTCGTACCGGCAGCGGTACCGACGGTACAAATTGTTCAATGGCGGCAATTTCTTTACCAGGTCATTCTTACTGCGGTCGTTTCAAAGGCGTCGAAGAATTCGACCGAGTGAGAGAATTAGGCCAATGTCTACAGACGGTATTCGGCTTCCACTCAGCCGACCAGCCACAACTCCTGGTTAGCCGGAATCAGCGGCTCTGTATGCAAAAAGTCAGTTTTGGAAGCGAAGATGATATGATAACCACAGCCATGGATAGCATGTATGCCAGTAAATGGTTAACTCTCCACCCGGTGGACCAGCAGCTCTTTGATACAGCGATGATATCCATCAAGGACTGCCGCGACAAAACCGGAGGCTGTGCGGATTGCGTAAATCAGACTCGGCTAGCGGATCTGATTGCTGAGAGCCATGCTGGGCGCACGAAACGTAAGGACTGGCGGCGTGATTCTGTAACATAGAGCTCGAAAAGGAAGACCAAACATAACTAGTGCACCGCGATTGAATAAATAGTTTTTCTGTACATAATAAATCGTTATAGGAATGATAACGAACGATGCGTAACAATCTGACAGTGGGCAATTTACCAAATGTTATAGAAGTTGAGAGAACAATTTTCATTTTCAACAGTTTTACACATGAAACTCAAATCCTTTCAAATGCTTTCATGTTCTCAAATCCTTTCAAAATATCATTCTTTGAAAAATAAATATTCCATAGGATATGATCTCTTGCATTTGGCTTCGAAAAAAATTATATTAAATCATTTTTAAAAACAGCTTAAAAAAGCGTTTAAATTACAGCAGTAGCTGGTTACACCCTACATATGGGTTTCATTGTCTTATTTTTTAACTCCAGGCGGCGACTGCATCGTACGTTTCGAAAAACCATGCGGACAACGTGTATTTTCGGCGTTTAAAAACTTTGCCTAATATAACTGTATTGAAAAGTGATTGCTCGAATTCACGCTAAAACATCAATTATCGAAATTTTTTTAAAGCAGTATTTTGATAAAATTGGCAATATGCCTGACATACGTATACATGCAGTACTTCAATATTCCTGACATATTCCATTCCACATTCGATGCAATATTCCTGACATTTCTCTGTCGTTTAAGGATATTCCATCAGAGACGGTCCCCACCACATCCAGCACGGACACGATGACCAGATTGTCAGAGCCTGAGTGGACACGCCGCATGCAACGTCAGTGAGGGAACCTACTGCGACTGCTGTTCTGGACCGAAGGAGGAGGCTATGTGCCAGAGAATGGCTCAAAAAAGTCGCCATCCTTTTTCGACTATGCATAGAGTACTACGTATTTTCTAAACCTTAGCAATCAAATCCGATCGTGTCCTCTAACCCTGTGGTTCCGCTGTTCTTTCATTCTGCTTATACCGTACTTTGTGTTGCATATTTTCTTTCTGTTTAGTTTGTCTTTTTACTTTATTTTTTTGTCATTCTGTCAGTTATTTTGTAGTATGTTCAGAGATTCATAAAAATGTGCTGATAATGAAGTTTCATTCCATTCAGCGTAATAATACTGCGGCATCATCAACGACGGCAAAAGGTATGAACCGTAGAAACTGAAAGACATTGTTTGTTATCCATAACCGTACATGTTTAAATACTTCAAGTACACATCTTGGATCTTCATCAATCTTGCACGTTTGTTAGCGAGCACGATAAGGTTCAAGCGTTAATTAAATAATTTAATTTATTAGTAGTGCAATCGCATTTCGAGTGCCGGCTGTGAACGCTGTTCCTAGCAGCCACAAAGGAAGAGAATAAGATGCTACATAATGTCCCACTGGCTGTATCGAAAACATGTTGCTGCAATGTTTGCCTCTGCTGAGATGGTGTAGTACCGAAAAGGTTATTTTTTTTTTTTTACGGTTGTACGAATTTATTGAGGTTCGTATTGGACTGTGTAATACAAGAATATCAGTTAACAAAAACCATAACATCAAATACTTCAAGTACACATCTTGGATCTTCATCAATCTTGCTATTAGACAAAACCAATAAGTGAGATTATTAGACATTATTAGAGAAAAGGTTATTAGACAAAACCAATAAGTGAGAGTGTACCAGGGTAAACTGAAAGAGATCTCAGCTCGCTTACGAGGACGATTTGCTGACCACTACATTGCTAACGGACTAAATGCTGATTGTTCTTTGGTGGCCGATAAAATTCTTTTAGGGTAAAACGTTGAGACGACAATTTGATAGTGGGCTACCGCCGCTATTTGTTAGCGCTTAATCCCGACGGTTGTTCGCGGGAACTTTTATAACCAAAAGCAAAAGCCAGTAATGCAACACCGGAATGTGAATTGACTCGGATGGACATATTATAAATGGCCGGCAATGTGCTTAGTCAATACCGCTGCAAGGCGAAGGAGGAAACAGCTTAAACAATTATGGTCGGTAACTATCAAGGGCTTGCAGTAAAAAGGTCAGCAAGGTTACAACCACCTATACAAACTAATGGTGAGCATGTGCAGATGCTGTGGAGTTCCGATACTCTGACTTAATTTGTACGCTAGCGTTCTAATCGCGATGCAGTTTGAGAATAAGCATTGCTGTTGCACGCATGGTTTCCTTTAAAACTAGCTTTTTCTCTGAACCTTTAAGGTGCCATGCGGAATTACTAGCGTTTTAATACTTTGTAAATTGCTCTCATACAGATACAAAAGTAAAAGACACCTTGAAGAATGCTGCGCAGCCTACGCTTAAGTTCATCATTTTTTACTCAGCCAGTACGTGACCATATCACCACGACCTTTGACTTGCAGCGAGCCTCGAACTTGAACAACATAGCCATGATCGGTAAACCAATGCAAAAGTGAAGCGGACGCGTAGCTCAGGTGTATTCGGCCCGGCAATCCTTGGCTGCACATTCGCGATGCCACATTGATCGTGTCTCCAAATCTGATAAACACTCAATTCGTTCAGTTTTGTATACTTTCAAAACGGTTGCATTCCTGTAAACGTACAAGCAGTAACGTGGTCTCTTCATTCCGATGACTCCGGCGGCACACGGCCCTATAACAAAGCCGTTGTCTGCCAGAACATTACGTTAAAACAGTTCCTGTGCAACCTGAGTGCAGTCCAATCATAATGCGCAGCTCCTCCGGTAGACTAAGAGATGGTTGCAACTGCAGCAACAGCAAGGCGAAATCGGCCATTCGCCGGACCTGATCCGAGCCGATTCGGATGGGCAGTCCACTGGCAACCTGCAATTCCGCCGCATTAAGGATGTCGAGAAAATACCACACACTGTGCGAAGCTTTATGCCCCATAATTTGTTCACATGCCATTTTATATTACGGTGAACAGTATGTAGAAACTTTATAGGAGCAAACACTCTGTACAATATCAACGTCTGCGCATTCTCAACGGCAGTGAGCACTATTTCTCAACTCTGTGACGCAAAAATCCTCAAAGTGCGGAAGTACTGCGTAAAATTAATATTGTTGGGAATTGAGATAACCATAGGAATAAATTTTGCGCTTACCAGGACAGAATCAGAAACAGCCTCGACTTTATACACATCGCACACCGAAATCGGAACGTCCACAGAATCTTCCATCTTGGAAATCACGGTAATCACTTGTTCGGGAGATGAATCTTGCGTAAAACCGGCAAATCCGTCATACTGGGAAAAACATATGGTCACACACTCGAAGAGCTCTGGCGCGACGAACTGTCCAGCTCGCAGAGTTTCCGCAATTTCTCTGTTATAACGACAATAATAGAAGATCGTCGTACATGTTTTCAATAAAGGCACCGACATCGGTGTTGTATACTTTGGTAAGAATTGTCGAACTAGGGCATCACAACGTTTTCGAGCATCCAGCAGTGCCTTTGTCCGCAGTTTCACCTCGTCCTCCAGCTTATTCGAGTACAGAGACAACTGTCGGTAGATTTTATCGAAAAGTTTATGCTGATTCATTTCCGGTGCCAGAAGCGGCGACGCCTCGCGGAGTCGTGAGCGTAACTCCCTGATATTAGGTCGGCCTTCGGGAAGTCTACTCAGGCACTCATGAATGACACTGGCCAGCTCGGCGATCTCCATCAAATCCACAGCGGCAACCAGTGGGTTATTGGGAGCACACTCCATATCGACGAAAGTTGAAGTGCCTGAAAATTCATCTTTACAGTCGACAGTAGTAAAGACGAAGTGCGTTCGCACTTACCGAACTTGTCCTGCATTTTTCGGTTTAAGGACCCTCCAGTCAAGATATCGTATAGGATCAATCCCGTGGAGAAGATATCGACTGCTTGCGCGGACTGGACGGTACTGTCCCATTGGTCGATTTCATCGAGTTCCGGGGCCATCCAGAAGAGCGGTTCCCAGCTGCATTGCTTCGGACCACGGCAGTCCGTAATGTCATCCATACTTTCCAGCTGACCACAGATCCGGTCACTGGCTACATTCATGAGCTTCAGAGTGAAGTGCTTATCGATCCAGCAGTTAAAAGTACTCAAACGACCATGGTAATTCAGTTGTGAATGATGCACGAAACTCAGTCCCTGCGTTGCAGTAGGAAAAACAAATTAGCTCTTACGTTCTAATTAAGCAAAAAGATTTCGCGAAAGATGACGACTAGTACCTCTAGAAAATCCAGGACGAAGGAACTGACAAAAGTAAGCTCCCTGCCTACGGGACTGCTGCATACCTGAGGCAGACTGCCCCGTGATGGACAGCTGAATACCACGAATACAAACCTCCTAGCAGCGCTTATGCTAAGTCCAAGAAATTGTCCAACATTTTGGTGTTCCAATTCCCGCAGCTGTGAAGAAAAGCCTTTACTGAATCCTCACGCTTACGGTGTGCGTAGAATAAAAGTGAAACGTGCAGTGAAAATTATATTAATTTGTTAATATTCAGTCAACGGTGTGAGACTGAGAGTCTAACCAGGGGCCTGTCAAAGGCTCCCCCTTCCGAAAAATCCCATCTTTTGTTTGAAGACAGAGTAAGCAGTGAGAACACTTAAAAAAAAACATTTTTACTGGCAATGGTCCAGTGGGCGTGACCAAAACCAATTTTTATGATGCAAGCATCCTATGTATTATCATTGTATTAAGTTGCAATGACTTGCCATACTACATATTTCTGATTTGACAGTGAAACGATATTTTACGTGCGTAGTGTTTGTTACCCCCTATCACTGTAAAGTCCGATAATAATATTTTTGAATAACTGACCTGTCCATATAAACATTCTATAACACCTTGGCACTTATCGAGCTAAATAGTAAATACGTACCTGCAGATCATCAACGTACAAAATAATGTAGCAGCATTAGAGTAAGTGCTTAACATTCAGCCGATATGTGGCAAAACGACAAACGCTATATTACCTGCATTATGTATATACTATACAAAAAGGAAAAAATGGATGAGGCACCATTTATAGTGTTAACAGATAATACTATGGCTGGAATATATTTCTACCAGCGACACAGGGATATTTAGTATGGTAACTAACCGTAAGCAGTACTTATATGCTGCTAATACATACAGTCTGTACGACTGCTTTTAAATTGGCTTTTGGCCACGCCCACTGGACCATTGCCGGTGAAACTATTTTTTTTTAGTTTTCCCATTGCTTACTCTTCAAACATAAAATGAGGTTTTTCGGAGGGGGGAGCCTCTGACCGGCCTCTGGTAAGACATATCCAATGCGCATTAACCGACACCAATGGGTTCTGCTGCTTGCGTAATATGCGTCAAAAGTAAGAATCTAATTTGTATCTAATTTGCTTCTATAGTAAACCTTGCTCTATCCTGCTGCAAAGGCACTTCCGAATTTATCAGCACAAGTATCATAGTCATCATCGTTCTTACTTTTTTAAACAACTTGAGCAAATTGTGATTCTTTGATATATCCTTAAAGTTCAGTGCGCCTTCTCCGCGCGCACATGGAAAACACACCGCAGCTTTGCCATGCAGCGATACAAATCGAGTCGTTGCCTCCTGTCGAGAAAACCGCCATTTCATTGCACTATTCATTCAGAATATTGTTTTTGGATTGTGACGAAGAAGCGCTTACCGCTGTAAAAGAAACCGAAACAGATCCATTGTAAGGTTGGCCGGGTGCAGTAAATAGAGAGGAAACGTTAGAGCGGAAAAATGACCCGGCTTTTAAATCCTCCATGTTTACTTGCCACCAGTTATCAAGCAAAATTTGTTCGTCCGCTTTCATTTTATTATACCTGCATGTTATTTCGAAAGAGTACGTCAGTCAGTTTCAAAATTCGTTAAAAATACGTAATATTCTTCGACTTCCGTTGTTCGTTTTACGTTCAAAAGCTCGTAGCTGTATGCTTACCGCCAATACAATACAGCGAAAATCCCTGCAGCGATGGATATTCCCAGTAGAGTGAAAATACTGATCCACAACGGTGCGTTGCTGCCTGAAAACCATAGCGCTTTACTTCGAAAATCATTCTAAGGAAAAATGTCAACCGCGCATACT